AAGAGCTGTAGTGTTTGAAGTTGCTAGCCTTTCAGGATCTGGGTTGAATCACCCTTTCTTACCAACTTGTATGCCACAGAATTATAAATGATGGCAAAGTACATGGGAGTATGTAAAAATGCTATGAAAACACTATTTATTTTCAAAAACAATTTTTTATTAACTATTCATTTAAAATGACAATACGATTTCACCTAGGCACTAGTATTTCTTCAACATGCAGGGTGATGCATTATAAAAAAATGTATGTAGTTCACACAGAACACATTGACAGGATGATGCAAGTTGAGAATCCCTGGACTCTCCGTTTCAATTTGGAGTTACACTCTTATTTCTGGAGTAATAGGTGACTTCCTCTGGAATCAGATGTAATTAATAGGATACCAGTATTGACATTTTTGTGTCCGACCGACATCAGTAGGCCACTCCCATCGTCACATGGGTATAAGTACTGTACGTCATTAGATTTGGCTCTCTCTTCTGTACTAAGTTGGAAGGATGTAAGGGATTTGTTTTCTGTGCAAAGGGATGCAGTAGAAGGTAGGAGGGTGGGTAAAATTAGCAGTGGAGTACAGATATCTTTCATGAATATTTTAATAGAAAAGAACAGGTTTGTCCATCAGCTACCATCATATTATTTACAGTGGCTACCATCACATTATTTACAAGTTAGGCAAATAAGCTGCATCAGGTACTGTGTCTTGAGCTTATCAGAATGTTCACATGGACTTCATGTGGCAACTGTCATTTGTCTGTGCCAGCAATGTCACGTGTCTCCATTGGTTACTGGTGCAGCCCTAAAGGGAATTGAGGACTGTGTCATTGGAGTATGGGTGAAGGTGGTGGTTGTGGCAGATGGAGGGATCGAAGGGTTGATAAGTTCCAGCTTATCATCCTTCACCTTTCTCCGGGGATTTAGTTCCATGCCTCTTTCACCCACTTTCTGAGGATGGGGCAGGGCATAGCGCAGTTTGTCCCAGAACCAAGGGTCACCCCACTTTACATATGTGTTCATGCTAAGGTAGGCTCGTAGTTCAGGATCCAGCTGCTCCATTGGACCGACGTCTCCATAGAGCAACACGATGACCCTGGCACGACCCTCGCTCAGGGCCTGGCTATGTGCCGTGCGGAATTCCATGCGACCCCACACGCTCTCCAAGAAGCTGGGTGAAAGCACTACTAGCGTCCTTCGTGAGTCTTCCACAGATCGTGCTATCTGGTTAGGAATCCACTCCCCTGCTATCCAGTCACGATAGTGCAGACACAATTTGAATTGTGTTGTGCCACCCTCCAGCCCTGGCACCAGGTGATTCACAACAAACTCCTCATCACGGTGCGAGTAACTGATGAAGGCATCATACAGTTTCTCTTTGTCAAGCTCTTCCTCCGTCACAAACCAGAGACACAGACCCCGTGCATACAGCCACACTTTGACTTCATTCTGGTAATAGTAGTACAGGGCCACCGAGATGCCTACTATGATGCCGGACAGGGCGATGATAATGCTCATTGTCACGATAGTAGTACTGGACACTGGGCAGATGTCACTGAAGGTGAGATTTGACAGAGAACGTCCTGAACCATCGCCACATGTTACGTTGGGAAGATAAGCAACCTGCAACAACAATTCATGTTTCAAACATGGGACATCAACATAAGACATCATGGCGTATACTTGTGTGCTCTATGTTGCTTGTTGTCCATACCTGAGTGAAGTGCTCCTGCAGGAAAGTGATTATGCCCCTTGCTTCACAGTCGCAGTGCCACGGATTAGCATGAAGTGTGATATGCTGCAGGCCAGTTTTGTTGCCAAATGCCTGCAGAATGGATGCATCAAGCTGTGTCAGGTTATTGTGATCTAATTCCAGCACCTGTAAAAAAAAGCAAAGAAAACTGAGATGATCATCTCACAGGCAGGGGTCATGTACAAGGCCACGTGGACATACGTGTTTACCTGCAAGTGAGGAGGAACCTGCTCTGCTACGAATGTTGAGATGTTGTTGTAAGAGAGATAGAGTTTTGTCACTCTGCTATAGCCTGGTGCAGTGTTCCAAGGAAACTTCACGATACCATTGCGTTTGAGCCACAGTTCGGTGTGGTTAAGTCTGAGTCGTCTGGGCCACAAGACACTTTTGTTGAGTTTGAGTGGGTCAGGCAAACTTGCTGGGGATTGTGACAATTTCAAACCCGAACAGTCCACAACCAAGGCAGAGTCTGCTGGACGCCCAGAACACGTGCAGGGGTTCGGACAGTCCCCGAGTTGCGGAAGTGGGCACTGTATCTTGACGGAACTGAGATGATTCACGGCGATACCACTCCACTCTGGTGGGGCAGCACAGGTGAGATTACCAGGGATGATTTCAAACATGCTGCGTGCCTCAGGTTCAAGTCTGTCTTCAAAATAGCGCAACAAGTCATACAACTTGCAGTCGCACATTAGGGGATTCCCCTCCAGCAAAATTTCTCTTTTTGGGAGATGCCGGTGAGGTACTTGTGCTGAGGCTACAAGCTCCAAGTTCTGCAGGTCAACCGAGGAAATGCTGTTGTAGGTGAGGTCCACAGTGATAGAGTTTGACAGGAACTGCATGTCTTCCAGCTGTAGCACAGTAGAGAAACATGTAAATTTTGTTGCCCTGACAAAGGCGACCAGTTCCTGGGCCATATACAAAGAAGAGAGAAAATGGCAATAAGCTACTGAGCAGAAGACACAACATGGAGCTACTCAGCAATTTAAGAATACTGTTTGAGTGGCACAGCTCGAGGATCATGTAATTACTTACTGTTAGGTTGGAAATGAGGTTGTGACTCAGATCCAGTGTTCGCAGGTTCAGCAAGGTGAGGACCCAGTCTGAGAAAACAGTCTTGATGGAATTATTGCTGACGAAGAGTTTCTCAAGCTGCACGCAGGCACTGAGCACAGACTGGACCTCTCCAATTTCAGTTTGTGGCCCACTTAAGGACAGGCGGTTGTGGGAAAGTGTAAGATCTTTAAGCCCAGGCACATGTGTGAATGCCCGTACCGCAATGTGTTGCAGCTTATTGTGCTCGAGATTCAGCCGTTCTAGTCTTCTTAGGTCCTTCAGCAGATCCCTGTGGAAACAGAAGAGAAAATTCTGACATGTCTTCCTCAACAACTTACCATAGTGAAATTGGCTTGTTCTAATGACTCACCCTGTAATGCTGGTGAGGTGGTTGTGATCCAGTTCCAGGGCCTCCAACTTGCCAAGTCCAAAGAATACACCGTCTGGTAGGGTTTGCAGCTGATTGTTACCTAGCTTCAGGTTTCTGAGACTGACTGTGTCCCGGAACAATTCTTCAGGTAGAGTTGTCAGTAAGTTTCCATGCAGGGAGATGTTGACTATTGCGAGTGATCCCCAGAAGATGTCACCGGGCACTTGTGTGATGCCGCACATGTTAAGGTATACTTCCAGCAGATTGGTGAGGTTGGCCAGCAGTCCGGGCGGGATGTGCTGAAGCTGCTGCCTGTTGTTGTATAGTCCTAACTTTGTCAGACTGCTGGTTGATGTGAACAAGTCATGAGGCAGGGAAGTGAAATTGTTGCCAGGCATGGTTATCTCTTTGAGCTTCGGCATCATGTGAAACAAGTCTGCAGATATTGAGGTCAGCTTGTTGGAGCTGAGGTCCAAGAACTCCAGACTTGACAAACCAGTAAAGACATCTTGTGTAAGGTTCTGCAGGTTATTTCCCCACAAGTTCAGCCTGGCGAGTCGGGACAGGTTACGGAATATTCCCACCTCGAGGCGCGTCATCTGATTGCCACCCAGTTCCAGTGTTTGAAGATTTGACAGGCTGTCAAACACATGCAGAGGGAGCTGAAGTGCATTGTCTTTCAAGTCCAGATACTGGAGTGCAGTCATCCCTTGGAACAATTCCTCGGGCAAAGATGTTATTCCATTGCTGTGGAGTATGAGAGTTTTGAGGTTTGTAAGCCCTTCCAAAAAGGATGATTCCAGTGGGTCGCTCAGATTGCCGTTTTGGAATACAAGTGATTCAACCCCAGAGGCACCAACAGATAGAAGCATTTGGTACAGAGACATATTAGGCAGGGGACAGAATGTGAAGGCTACAAGAGGGATGGAACCCACATTTAACCCAGACAGCAGTTCATAGTCCATCCATGTCATTGACAAACACTGCAAGTTCAACATGTTCTCAGGCACCAGTTTTGCATGGAGTAAAACTTTTTGTGGAACATGGGAGCACCATAGATCCAGGTCACCCTTCACATTTTTATCACAGCGGCATTTTCTTAAGACAGGGCATGAGTTGTCACTGCTGACTGTATTCACTGCCAGTACTGCTGCCAACATTAGCTGTCTCATGGTCACCAACATTCTGTTCCTGCAACAAGAAACAAGTACATCTGAGAACTGATTTACCCGGAGAAGCAGGATTTGGCACGTCGTACTTTCTTGTCGCACGCAATTCAAGACTTGCGCCACGATGCAAATCAACAGATTTTATATTGAACGCAGGATTTGGCACGTCGTACTTTCTTGTTGCACGCAATTCAAGACTTGCGCCATGATGTAAATCAACAGATTTTATATTGAACACTGCTTCTTATCTTCGGCATAGAATTCTCCCCTTAAACTGTTATACAAACAAGTTCCACAGAACTGAGGTTCAGATATTTGCTTTAAGATATCGGAATTGAGCAAACATTGTTTGACGACGTCAGCGCATTACTCAACTCCGAATTGGGCCACATTCAGAGACAAAAGAATAAATGATCTGTAACCCTGGTCCAAGTCTGAAGGCATGCATTTCGGTAGACGAACATATTTTTTTACAGTCTTTCACATTTTGAGGAGTTCGATAGTCATATGGGCCAGGGTAATCACATTAAGCACGATGGACTGAACATGTAGACCGGCTGAATTTCTTTGGTTGGGTGTGGGGGGGGGGCTTCCCCCCCACTCTTAGAGGCGTGTCTCGTTTCTGTAATAATCTGAAGAGGCGACGAAGTGGAAACTAAAATGTGACGCCTTCAACAGCCCGAAGCAATTCGATGTGCTAAAACTGCCGTGGCCTTTTGCGGTTTTTCGACAGTCGTCACTGCCACACGAGTTGATTTGAGTTTGGGAAGACACTCGGTGGCCTCGCAGCGGGATTTTCCTTCGAGTTGGGGGTAGTGAGCAGTTCTGTGCAGAACTTTGAACAAAGACGTTTTGAATGTGCTCGAACCCATCACCGTTGTACTTGAAGCAGCTCTCGATCACCGGATTTCAATTAAATTTAGACTTTACAGACGTTATTAATTGTTCGGACGTTGTTTCTATCCGGAGTACAGAATGAACTGCCAAGTCATAAACTCCATATTATAAGGCGTTACTCAAAAAGAAGTATAATTCGCGACGTTTCTGTAAAATCTACTTTCACCCCCACCCCACCCCAACAGGTGGTATGTCACTCACAACGAATCCGAATCGCGCTTACATTACGAACTTCGTATTTTGTAATGTTCTTTATTCCTCTGCAGCACACAGCTTTTCCTTGCACACACATTGCTACGTAACCAATTAATGATCGTCAGATGCTTACGACAGAACATACTGCGAAAACAAACTACCAAGAGATTTGTTTACATGATGTGGGAATAGCGAACGCGGCCTTGAAAGCAAATGTCTGTACAATATGAGCACTCTCTCTACTCCGGCAAGTATTCAAAAGCAACAGTGATGCCAAATGCGTGCGCACTATTGGCTTGGAAAGATCCGCGGGAGGCGAGGAAAGGCAACGCACCAGTGAAGCTAAAGCTCGTTCACATTAGTCAAGTTTGAATCCAAGTCGCATGACTTGAATATTTTATGCCCACATTTAAGCGAGTTCGCTGGACACAAGGAAACTCTAAAATGGCGTGTCAACATGAGAAAATGTGTGCTGGTGTCTCTCCTGTTGAGTGAAATATAAACTTTATTGGAAAAAGGAGAAGGAAGAGAGAAATGGATTAAGAAAAGGAACCTGTTTGGTGCATCTGGTGTGCCCACACTTGTGAAGAAGTTGACACAAGAAGATTGAGATTATAAATTACTGTCAAGTGTTATTCTTCCTGGCCCCTCGTTTGTGGGTGCGCCGTGGGTTTGGGAGAATCCAAATTCCGTTATTTCTTAACAAAGGGCTGTTTCGGTCAGCTGTGGTGGACACTGCTGTCACAGCCGAGTCGTGATACTAACGTACGTACAAACATTAGGTAGTTTTTAAGATGCCTCCTATTCAGATACTTCGAAATACTTTGATGCAGTGAAAATGTCTTGTAGTGGTGCTGTTATAGCTAAACTATAGTTCTATAAAAATCCGGAGTTGTTTTCTGCGTGTCTCGAGTATTGCGTACGTACGGCAGATGTTTTTGAAAAGACTAGTAGTTGCACACCAGCATGCTGCAGTGACGTTTCTGGAAAAGTTCTCCCACTACTTTCCCCTACATTCCCCTATCACGCCGACCAAAGGCAAGGGAGAATAACACGGACTATACCTGACTTTTCATATACCCCAAAATGTGCAAATGTTACTCCACATGCCATTCTTTGAACACTCACAACAATAATTTATGTTCACAAAGAACAAACTACAGCCTTTCAATAATACCAACGAAAAAAAAGCCGTTTTCGTACGTTCCAGTAAATGGTAAAGTCGTGTAGTTTTATTGTTATTCAAGTCAAACGAAGCCAAGTAAAAAGTTGAACTGTTTTGTCCTTCAATTTAATCTTGAAGCGGTATATCCAGTAGATCTTAAACTTTCTGGAAACAATTCACAAGAGTCAAGTCCTTTTCTTTCAAGCAACTTGACTGGTGTGAACGAGGCTTTAGCTCCGTTAACTCGTCACGTGCCATTTGAACAGCAAAAGGGCTCAGAGTCCAAAACGACTGCTCGTACAAAAGAACTCCGAAGTCCAGCTCTGGTAACCTTCGACAATCGTTTAAAATTTGTAGTGTGGTCGAGTTTCTTTTATCCGATCTACGTGTCTAGCCCACGGTAACGATACTAGGCATCAGTCCGTCGTGTGATTTTCTTCATTCCCGCATTTTGAACCCAAATATTTTTCCGTGCATAATTTATTTTGTTCTCACTGGGTTTCAGAAAATAATTTTAAAATTTAGTGTTATATATATAAGGACGGGAGGCTTACTTCATTGCGAATAACATTTCTGCGCTGTGGCTGGGAGGGACCTAAGGACTACGATGCTGGTACCTTATTAATTTACTGACTGCCCTGATGTTTAATGAGACACTAGGCATTTAGCAGAAATGACAGATGGACGAGAAAGTAGCATCTAGAAGGATGGGGGGGGGGGAAGTCTGAGAGGGAAAGGCCTGGCATTGGCGGCAGTCAGTTTGAGCACCACGCGACAAACCGGTTATTCTACGGAGTCACAGTCAAGTGCCTGGGGAAAGGGAAAGCCGAAACGAGGGTAAAAGTTGTGCCACTTTGAACACGAGCCACTCACCTCCCCGTTCATTTTCACGGGCGCATCCTAGTGATGACCGCGTTACTAAAGACTGCCCAGGTTAATTCAATCAATTCAGAAGAAATGTGCATTTTCTATGCTTCGTTAACATGGCCATTGAAGATGGTTTCTGAGGTACTTGCTAATGCAATCCATCAGGGGGATGAGGAAGGCAAGCAAATACCTCCGAAACGTCTGTAAACTTGTCAGACTACACGGCGCTACAGCCTAGAAGACGGCCATTTTCATACTCGCCGCTGTGAGAACTCAGCTCATAGTGCACGGAGCTAGCTTCTAGATATGCTGACACTCGGCTGGTAATTTAGTTTCATTCATAGGATAGCGTTGATCTCTTCGCGCAAGAGACCACTGTCAAACCCATTCAAAATAATATATATTGAAACAAAGGATGCTCAAGTGATCAGCCAGCCAGTGTCATCCCAACCGGAACATGCTATTGGACTGGCTCCCCCTCCCCAAAAACCGGGCTGCAGCCTTTTTCTTCCTAGAGGACCAGCTTTATAATTTTAATTTAATTGCTTACCAAAGTACCACGCCAAGTGGGTGGTCGTATGGGCTAGTGGAAGTATAACGCCACGCATTCTTAACTTCGATGAATGGTTAGCATCACGCCCCGGCCGTTTGACTCCGGTCCCGGTGGATAGAAGGCTGGGTGGGCCTTATATCCGGTCTGGACCCGTATCCTGTAATACACAGAACAAGAAACTCGAAAGGGAACTCCCACGATCTGAAGCAATTTGTTTTCACATTGAAATTGTAGTCCTAGTCCGAAAAATTATGAAAAAATACTTAGTAACTTTCTACAGGTTTTGTTTGCGTGTGAGGGAAGTGGTCAACCAAAATGTATCACACGTTTCGCATATCCCACGCGTTCTACATGCCCATCCCATACTTGATGAATTCGCCCTAATAATATTGTGTTATAAATTATGAAGCACTTCTTTGTGCAATATTCTGCAGCAAGTCGTTGCTTCCGGGGCCGAGTATGGAACCCAGATAAATCAGTTTGTCCAACCTATGGTCTAGACAACCTAGGTTCGATTCCCAACAAGGCAGGTTTCTTTTCTCTTTGCCACAACACCCCAAACTGGCTGTGGGGCTGACCTAGCGTCCTATCCAGTGGACATCTGGGTCCTGTTTCGATCGAAAATCTGCCGGAGCGTGAAGCTGACCACTCAGTTCAAATTAATGCCCAAGTTGAGGATGCACGGAGCTGCATATAAATTCCACATACGTCTGCATGGAGTTAGTTAAGCACCAGTAAAAACTAGCTATACCTTTTCGACTCTCCGCGCCCTGTTCTCGAACACTCTGGTGTTGACAGACTGTTTCACACACACGTGAATAACCAGTCTCATACAGGTTGGAATATTCAACCCACTTTCACCTTGGTACAGAGTACGAAGTGATCACAAGTACACCGTTCGCACATCCGACAAAACACAATGGCACACATTGTAGAGGAAAATTCATGCACTGCAAGACTTGACAATGATGCTACACTGGAAATGACGTCACCGGAGGTGGCAGAATACTCACTGTGCAAGACGCTGTTGTTTACTCGTGTGATGCGTCCCCAAAACTGAGGAACTGGTTGCACTGGCCCATTGGCTGGCTCTAGCGGCAACACTGTGCCAGACAGCGGATTAATACATCGCTTCGGGATATACGGAGAAGTAATGTCGCTAGGAATTCTGTGAAGGTACACTCCCGTTACATGTTAGGGCTAGGTTGTTTGTTTAATTACAAAGTCAACACGAAAGGGTTGCAACAGACCACGTCTTACGCGGTTGTACACATTTTTATGAACACAAGCTGCACCACATTATGATGAAATACACTGAGCACGAAGATAGAGCTCTAAGCATTCCAGGCCTCGGCATACCTTCACGCTCCGGCCGTTTTTCCTGTGTACCCATTGAGTAGGAAGAATCATCAGCTGTTCTATACGTGGGTAAAGAGAGAACTGAAGTCTACGTTCGTGTTGGTACTGTCTCTGAGTGCTGCTAATGAGCCTTAGGAGGGGGGGAAGTCCCTACTGCCCGATGGTGGGAGAAGTGAGGTTTAGTTAATCTATTTGTCAGTGTAAGGCGTAAATTGCACTGACCTTCGCATGACGTCACGTTTCGCTCTGTATTGGCGCTGATTTGAAACTGCGGGCCACGTTGTATAACTTGGTGTTAACATAACGTGTGTTTGAGACCCGTTACAAAATTGAAGGGAGCCTGTGGTGTTCTGAAATGAGAGAAGACGATGGGGTCTGGAGAAAACTACATAAGGACGAACTTAAAAATCTGTATTGTCAGGGTGATTAAGTCGAGAAGAATGAGATGGGCGGGGCACGTAACGCGCATGGATGGGACAAGGTGTGCACCAGGTATTGGTTGGCAAGCCTGAGGGGAAGAGACGTTTCTTTCTACAGTGCCATGCCCATTGTCTGAATCTTATGAATTTTTTTTTTCAGATTAAGAATTTTACCGTCTCAGAAGTATGTTAACACTTGTAAGACTTTGATCTTGCTGCACTACTTTCTTAATTACACCATTTTATTTACTCAGCCCTTAACCATGAAATTTCTTAAAGATCTGTTCTCCTCAAATGACTTAATAAGAGAATAAAATATAGCAAATGTGAAAACAGAAAGTTCTATTCTGTAATTCAAGTTGTTCTTATTTAAGGTTCACTTGGAGATGTTTCATGGAAGTAATTTTCTTCACTAAAATGAATAACTGATGAACCGTTCCCTAAAATAAACAAACATTAAATTCACTTAAGATTTCTGTCTTCTGGGTTGTTGCGCCGTGTAGTATGGTAGATGTTTACCAACGTTTCGGAGGTCATACTGCCTCCGTCATCAGGACGATTTTGCCTACATCATTGCCCCAATGATGCAGACAGAAAGTACCTCTGAAATGTTAGTAAACATCTACCAGAATACATGTTGCTACCACCCAGGTTAGTAAACATCTACCAGAATACATGTGATGTCTGCCTTTAAAGAGGTAATTTTTATTATTCATACATTAATGTATTTGTTACTGTTTTTCATACAATATTTTTGCACAAGAAAAGTAATTTATTCTTCTTTTTTAATGTACTTTATTTCTGTTGCAGGAGAACGACTGTGGGGTTGTGATTGAATGGCTGAATGCCAATGTCTGCGACGTGCTGGTCCCCTCAAGCGTTCACACAACGCTGCGCTCTGAGTCCACTTCAGGCAGTTCAGGTCAGTCTTGGCAGTTTTTGACAAAACAGTGTGCTGAAGAGATCAGCTGAGCCTAAGGGAGATAAATAAGGAGGAAGGCGGAGAAAGTTGGAGTGATCAGATAATGGAGGATGACACGCGTATGGCATTGCTTGAATGAATGAGAGACGCAAGAAATTACAAAATATTGGTTAAAATGCCCGAAGACCACTTGGGAGACTTAGTCACGGAGGATAATATTAAGATGGGTCTTAAGGAATAGGGTATGAGAGTATTTACTGGATTCATTCGGGTCAGAATACGGTCCCATGGTGAGATCTTGCGAACACGGTAAGGGACCCTCGGGTTCCGAAAAAATTGAGGAATTTCTTCCCGCTCTAAGTAGAGGATCGGATCGGATCGATGTTCAAATCGTGTATTTCTGTTTCAGTGGGTCTGGTGGTAGGCCTGATTATCCTGGCGGCTGTCCTGTGTTTGTTGGTGCTGCATTTCAGAAAGCCAGCCAATCGCAGCCAACTGAGGAGCTGGGTGTACTCGTTCCTCGGCATGAGGCGGCACAACGGACAGTTTCACTACTCTCTGGTGAGTACACATTTGCAGTTGGCAGCCTTGATTTTGGTCTTGCTGAAATGTGGCTATTATCTCTGCAACTTTCTGTGTCTGATGTCTCGTGGGACATCTGCTGTTCTTATTGGGACCTCCCTTCTGGTTCTTAGAACTGACGTCGTCTTGAAACGAGCGCGGAATCTGTTCTAGGACTGACAAATCTTATCTGTTGTTTGATATCTCGTCTTCTTTCTTTTGGGTGGTTCTTTTCTATTGTGATATGGTATATTCTTGCTGATATCTGTTGTTTTCTTGCTATCTTGTGTATCCTGTTCCTGTATGATTGTCACAGAACCCGTCGTGTTACGTGCTTACAGTTACTAACAGTGGGGCACAAAGTTTGAAATCTGCAATGTCTTGTGTATTTTTATTGCCAGATCTCCAGTCTCACCCAGCTCTTCTAGTAATAATATTTTTTGATTCTCATAATGTACTATATTTTAAAATATTTCTGATTATTTCTGACGCCTCTGATAATCTCTTCATACCTGTTGCTGCACCAGTTAAACGTACAACACCCTAGGACTGTGTCTCTGACTGATATGAGACCTTTAAATATCTTTTTTTTGTGTGTGTGTGTGACGGAATTTTGACTGTGAGAAGTTACGCCACTGACTCTTCTAGTCCCAGTGAGTTCTACCAGGTTTCATCCACTTATTTTAATATTATCCCATCCTATCCTATGAGTGTGTGACGGAATTTTGACTGTGAGAAATTACGCCACTGACTCTCCTAGTCCCAGTGAGTTCAACTAGGTTTCATACACTTATTTTAATATTATCCCATCACCTCGTGTGCATTCTTATCAAGTTTGTTTTGTGTGCAAGTAGCAAAAATGTCTATTCCAACCAGGTTTTCCTCAGTCTGTCCAGATGTCGAGACATGCTATGCTCCCCTCCATACAAATACTTACCCGCTGACCGTTCGTGCTACGTAAGCTCTGCATTTAAGAAAGTGTCGTCTTTAAGTAATTCAAAAATCATTATTACTCGTAGTTGGCTTCTAACCAAGAGGTTTTTTCTTGAAACACTCTGTATGCCCTTGCTCTGCATGGAACCTCTCATCTAGCGTATTATAAGCCCTATGATTATGCAGTGTGGTCGAAAAGTCACTATGCAGTTTCATTTATGTAGTGGCAACACTGGCACTGGCAATGGCAATATCAGCAGTTTGTGGTTAACTGCACGGTGCCTTTTTCGAATGCCCTGTGATAGGTTCATTTTTCATGTGGCTATGC